GTCATGGAACTGTCCTAAGGGATGTAGCAGAGATGGCCTTGGCTTGGAAGTCTCCTTGCCCTCTGGCTAGGTCTCAAGTTTCCCCCATTTTTGACAAATTCTACAGACCGATTAGTTTGGACCCCCCAAGAAACCTGAAATTTTAGGGGTCTGGAGAAAGAGGAAGAAGGCCCTGCCTTGCCCAGTCTTCCCCCGTCCCCACCAAGGGAAGGATAAATTTTAGGTTGAGCAGAGGGCAGAGAGAACCAGGCTGTCCAGCCCAGCCCCACTGGGCTCCCGGCCTCTACCCAGCCTCCTTCCCTCCCTGGCTCAGACCCCGTCCCCTCCCCCTCCTCTCCCTGCAGTGGCCTATGAGGAGCTCCTGGACAACCGAAAACTGGAAGGTCAGTGAGGGCACAGGTGGAGACCCAGGCCTGGCTGAGTCGGGAGGGCAAGGCAGAGGCCGGGGGCAGGAGGCCAGGCCCCGGAGGGGTGAAGCCCAGGGTTCGAGGCCCAGGGCAAGAGGCTGGGAGAGGCCATTGGGCTGGGCCCAGCCCCAGCTCACTGGCCTCTCCTCTCCCTAGTGACCCAGACCACAGACCCGTCGAGGCAGCTGGAGGGTGGGAACCTCGCCTTGGCCATCCTGCTGCCCCTAGGCCTGGTCATTGTCCTCGGCAGTGGCGTTTACATATACTACACCAAGTAAGGACCCTGCTCCGGGAGCTGCTAGCCAGGGCAGCTGTCCTGCCTGCCTGGCACAGAAGACAGGGTGAGGGGGGGGTTGGGGGCTCACCTCTGGATAAGCCCCTCTATCTCCTCCCTCTCGCAGACTACAGGGAAAATCCCTCTTCGGCTTCTCGGGCTCCCATTCCTACAGCCCCATCACTGTGGAGTCAGACTTCAGCAACCCACTGTATGAAGCTGGGGTGAGCCCTTCCCCTGAGAGCCCTTCCCCTTCTTCCCTGGAGAGCCCCATCTCTCAGCTCCCCCAGGGCTCCAGAACTTTCTCTCAAAGTCTCTGTACTACCCATCTTGGGGATTTCAAACTCAGCTGCCTACAAAGGCCACACCAGTGAACACAGCGAGTCAGGCATGCATGGTGGGGAGTGGCGGCATGGTGGGGACTGGGGCTAAGTGGCCAACTCGTGCCCCATCTGGTCTGCAGTGGAAACTTAGGACCAACTGCCAGGTCTTCCGGTTGCTCAGGACAACCCAGAAACTCAAATTTGTGTGTGATTTTTAAGATACCGTTAAGATGAACCAGGTATCCCTGGGGCCAGATACAGCCCTGTTCCCTGCTCCCGCCATGGCTCACAAACCTCATGGCCAATGTTATTTTAAAAACCCAGGGTCTTTCCCCTCCCTGGTGGATGCCTCCTCCCATTTTGTTCCCTCCTCCATCCCCATCCCGCTCTAGCAACTGATCCCCTCTCTCTCTCCAGGATACACGGGAGTATGAAGTTTCCATCTGAAGCCCAAGACTAAGGCTGCAGGACCAAGGACGCCCCTCCCCTTCCCATTCTGGGCAGGGAGGAGTACAGGACCTTGTCTCTGGCTCCTTTCCTTCCTGCTGTGTAAACAGTCTCCTGGTCCCACAAGGGGGCTTTGATGGCCCTGAGGACCCTACCGTAAATAAACCAGCATCCTGCCGCCCAAGCCTCCTCTTCTCAGTTGCCAAACAGGGGGCATGCCCCTCCCCTCCTGCCCTACTGGCTTTTGGACCCTGGGAGGGGAACTCAGCCCCCCTGCAACTCCTGGGGCCCCTCTGGCCCAGGGTACCCCCCAAGGACTGCCTGAGAACTCTGTTGTTCCTTTTGGCCTTGAAGGCTTTTCCCAGACGCTCTGGTCCTGGGCCTCACCCCTGGGCTCTGGAGGGTCAGAAGAAGAGGGATGAAGGGGGAAAGCAGGGACACGGCCCCCCTACCCACTTTGCGCCATCTCCCAACCCACAGTCTCCCCACCTTCGCTTCTGGATTTTTGGTTTTGAGCAATAAACAGAAAACCACCATTTGTAACTAGGTTGGTGGGGTGTGGGAAGGTGGGTTACAGAGTGGCCTGGTGAGAGGCCTGGGGAAAGGGGAACGATTTGGGAAAAAGATGGAGTTCCAAGATGGGACCAGACGATGTCAAGAGCCCCCTCTGGGCCTCAGCTGTCTCTATCTATCCCCTGCCCCTTGCTTGACGCTTCTAGGCTCTTTTAGCCAGGAGACAACTGTAGCTACCTCCCCCCACTTGGCAGGACATAAACAGCCCTCCATTTCATGACCAGTTCACCTAAAATGCACTCTCCTTTTGAGAATGTTTGTATCCATCCAAGTGTGCCATTCTTTTTAACCCCAATTTTTTTGGACCTATAGGTATATTCGCTGTTATGTGTCTAGTAAGTAAGGGTCAGATTTGTAGCATTTCATAAAGAATGAGCTTGTTTTGTACCCTGTGGGGGTCCTTTTCCAGCGTATCTACTTTTGAACATTATAAGGAATTTTGGCCCATTTGTCTAAAGAGTCTCCAAATTAATTGAATTTCATGTCACTCAAATCTCATATTTAAGTATAATTCAACATTTTTAGGACACTCCAAAGGACACTGAAATCCTCCGAGGAGGCTAAATTTTAGAACGCGACGCCAGCTGAGCCTTATAATAAATGGCCTGCATTTCTGGGCCTTTATTCTGTGCCAGGCCTGGCGCTAAGCACTTTGTACTCGTTGTTTTTAACCTCTAGGAGGAGCCCTCGAGACAGGGATAATCATTCCCATTTCTCAGATAAGAAAACTGAGGCTCAGAGATGAGAATGGACTTCCTCAGGAGTCTCGAATAAGCGGCCAGATTCAGACTTAAATGCAGATTCTACGAAGGTGGCTGGATTCCGTTCTGGCTAGCAATGGCTGTGACATGGTCCCCAGGCATGAGGCCCCAGAGCCTGGAGGAGAGGCCTCAGCACTGACGTTGATGGCAGAGGTGGCTCCTCAGAAGCCGGGGAGACCCTCTCAGATGCCCAAGGCTAGACAGGAAGGGGCTGGAGTGTGGCTAGGAGGCTGAGTTCAGATCCATGAGCTCATCTCCACCAAAAGGTTGACAGAAAACAGGTCGTTAACTGCCCAAATTAAAGCTGTTCCAGTAACATGGACTATGCCATTTCACCCATATGCCCACACATCTGGCAAGAAAAAAAAAATAGAGAGAGAGAGAGAAGAAAAAGGAGGAGGAAAAAGGGCCACCCTCTCACATTTCCACCCCCAGAGAAGCCACTCCAGAGCACAGCCTGGGTTGGGAGGAGGGAAGGACCTCTCTCTGTCTTTTTATTAAAGCCTTTGATTTCTGGTGATGTCCTTGCCAGCTGAGGGTGGAAAGGCGTGAGATGGTTCCAGAACACCTGGGAGGCTTTGAGTATGCTGCTGCTCATGACCAGGAGACCCCAGCAAACTGAAGCGTTAGTGACTTGTGAACGAGGAGCTCTGATGCATGTTCTAGAAGGACACAATGGGGGAGAACATGAGAGGCCATGAGCAGCACCAAAGCCTACTGGGGTCATCTTCCAGATGTCAAGCTGCTAAGCAGAGCTCCCTAGAGAAGAGAAAGAACCTTCTGATTCTTTGGCCCCAACACTCTTGTCTTCTCCTTCTGTCCTTCACCTCTCCATCCAACCCCTATCCCCCACTCATCTCTCTCTCCATCTACCATTCCCCATTTTCCCCACTCACGCATTCACCATCCATCCATCCATCCTGGTGTTTCCACCAACATATCTACCCATCATTCTACCCATGCACACATTCTACTCACCCATGTGTCTGCCAATCTGTCTCCCCTCATTCACCTGTCCACCCACTCAGCCCTCTTCCACCCAACCACTCAGCCCCCATTTAAACTTCTCAGAAGCAAGTGACCCACTGGTTCACTTCTATCCTCCAGCCCCTACAGCAGTGCCAACACATACGAAGTGCCTGATAAACGTTCGGTGAATTTGTCCATCCATCTATCCATTGATATCCATCTATCCATCCCTCCAACCACTCACCCATTCCCCGACTTGACATTCTGCCCACGTACAATGACCTATCATTCAAGGGGCAGTTCAAAGGTCTGTAGGTTTCCATGTTCTTGAGGATGAGGAAGGAAAACTCTTTTGGGACCATGGGGTGCTGCCCCGGGGATGAGAGGGTATTAGCTCAGGATGAAATTCTCAATCAAGTGCATCTGGGAAGGAGCAGGAAACTGGGGCCCTCACAGAGCATCTTGTCCAAGGCCCCCATTTGACAAGTGGGGAGAAAGGCTAACTATCAAAAAAAAAAAAAAAGAAAAGAAAAGAAAGGCTAACTATCAGGTTGCACAGAGGCTAACTATCAGATTGATAGCAGGTTAGCTGTTAAGGCCCAGGGTTTTCCTGCTACTTCAAGTTGCTTCTGACACCAAAGCCCAGCTGGGAGAGTTCAAATGTCCCAGAGGCCCTGGAAGGTCAGCTGCCTGAGGTTAAGAACAGTGGCTTGTTCTCGGCTACACTGTGCCACCGGTCTTGGTCATGAAGACCGGAAGCAGCAGCCCCAGCGAGCTGACCATCGCTAAGACCTGGTGGACCCAGGAAATACCAGACACTCAATAAACAGCTGCTGTTAGCTCCTTCTCAGCCTTCCCCATGACGCCCTCTCTCCTCCTCCACCAACTCCTCACATGCACAGATTCTTCTGGACTCCCCCAGCCTCAGCACCCTCTTCTTGCTTGCTCGGCATCACCCCCACCCCCAGGAGCGACCACACAGCATTCAACTGCCGACTCCCTCCTGAATCCAATTTCTATCACCAGCCCAGACATCCCCCGATGAGTTGTGAAGCCCTATTTCCAACGATCTACATGGTCTCTCCGCCTGGTCTTCCCAGGGGCTTCTCAAACTCAATCCATCCAAAGGTGGGAGCGCAGCTGCCATGCTCCAGGAAGACTGATGAGGTTGGAGTGACTGAGAACAGAGGGCGACAAGGTGAGGAGTTCTAGGTAACGAGGTCAGAGACACAGTGGGGTTGGGGGGAGGAGAGAGGCCCCGTAAGCAGCCACCGAAGGACTTTGGCTTTTCCTTTGAAATGGGGAACGAGGTTGGAGTTCAGAGCAGAAGCCTGACTTCATCAGACTTAAGTTACAGAAGTCAGAAACGTGGGGATGGGTCATCTGATTTCCTCTATTTTTTTCCCCCTACCATTTCTACTCAATGACCAAACTCAGTTTTCCTGGTCTTTATTTCTCGTCTCTGCCCCTCTTCTCATCTCTATTATTACTGTGACAATTCAGGGCCCGATCATCACAAGCTTAGTCTCTTGGCATGATTGCTAACTGGGCTCCACTTCTCATCTCCCCTTTCTAGCTCACTCTCCCCACTGACTACCAGAGTGACTGATCTAAGATTACAACCTCCCTTGCTCAAAGCTCTTCAGGGACTTCTGATCTTAATAAGGCATGCATGCATAGGGTCTCTGAGTAGACCTTGGCTCCCATGCCTCCGTACTCCAGCAACTCAGCTGCTTCTGACCCCACTTTCTCTCCCGCCCTAAGACCATACACTGACATACCCCCATTCACTCTACTGAAACTCACCTCATGCCTTTGCTCATTCATACAGGCCCTACCACTTGGAATACCCTGACCAAACCATTGTTTTTCTGGAATATTCTTTCTTTAAATGTCACCTCCACCAGGAAGCTCCATGATTCCTTTCCCTCCTATCCCAAGGCTGGGATAAGTGCTCTTCTTGATGTTTCCAATTCTATCACAGGCATGGATCCATACCATGTTGTAATTGACCATCTACTTGACTGGCAACACATCAAACTGTGAACTCTTCAAGGGCAGAGACCGTATCCTTCATTTCTGGGTCCCAGGCTCCTAAAACTGGGCCTGGCATAACCTGTGAACTCTAAATGTTTAGAACACGGAAGGGGCTTGTCAGTGTGGACTCAGTATATACCTTGTCACGAGGGGATGGCAGGAGGTGTGCCTTAGTACGGGTACGGTTTCTGTCCGAACTAGAGAAGGCAGAGGGAAAGGGGAGGGCTGAGAATTCGGAATTCGAGGATCAGAGCAGGAGAGACTCGGACTACACAGTTTTCAAATCCCCCTACCCTGCTAGGACGTTGTCAAACCCTCACTAACCCTAACTCTAACCCTAACCCTTGAAGCTTCACTCACCGGGTGTCGGTGCCTCGGGTCTTGAAGAACACTGGAAGTAGAGGCCTGAGTCAGAGAAAGTGTTACACCCACAGCCAGAAAGAGATGTGGCTAGGGAGAAAGGTGCTGAGGTGTTCCTGGCCAGCAGTGAGGAGTGGGTACTGGGTGAGTTGGAGGGCGGGAGCACTGCGTAGTTCAAGGGCTGGCTGTGAGATCGGGGAGACAGGCTCGGATGGCTGGAAAAGTCAGCTGTGGTTGGGAGGGGTTAGGGACTGGAACTCGGGGTATGGTGGGGTCTCTGGACACAGTGGTCCTGGAGTAGGGGGGTCACCATGTTTGGATATCTGAGTCCCTCGGTCTTGGGTCTGTTTTTCCTTGGTGGGCACAGAGTTCGTGGGGCAGCCAGCGATAAACAAGGCCTCGTTGGTGAGCTCTGTGCTGATCCGAGTCAGGAATTCCTCAGATCGGGATAATGAAACCTTCTGCAAAAGGGGAAATCACAGGGGTTCAGCCTGGGAGTTCCCACAGGCGAGTCCCGGATCTGGGGGCTCCCAGGCTGGGAGCTTGGGGTCTGAGGTCCGAGTCCAGTATTGGAGGGCTGATGCTTGAGATTTGGCAGAGAAGGCACTGGGCGTGGAGGGCAGTCTTGAGGACCCCAGGGCCAAAAGTGCTAGGGACTACGGGCTCAGGGCTGAGGCTACAGTCTCAAGACTGGAGGTGTCGGTGCCCTTGGCCTCGGAGCTCTCCATCCACTTTGGCTCACCCCCATGCTCACCAGACTTCCACCAGAGGGGGTTGCCGCTTGGGACATCCTGCTGCCCTTTTTCTCCTCATTCCTGGTAGGTGTGGATGCCATCTCCCTGGAAACAGGCGACACCTGTGTGAGGCTGAGAAACCAGCCTCTAGCTCCACTTCTCCCAGGGGTCCTCTCCTTCCTTCCACCCAACGCCCTACCCAAGACGGCAGCAAGCAGGCTTGCTGCCCCCGACCTGACAAACGAGTTGAAATCTTGGGCAGGAGGGAAACAGGAAGGTCTAAGGAGCCCCTATTTAGGTCTCAGGGGACGGGGAGTAGGAACCGGGGAGGAAGGCTGGAAAGAGGGGGACCAGGGCTGATGCAGCCCCGTTGCCAGGATATCAGGGATTCTAGAACCAAAAGCGGGGGCCGGGGGAAGGGGGCGGCATTTTCCTAGCACGTCGCATTCGCTCTTCTGGTCTCCGTTCCACCTCGTTTTGGATCCCTCCTTGGGGATGGTGACCCCAACGCCAGAAGTCTGAGACACAGGAAGATCACATAGGGTGGTGCCTGGGACCAAATCCTCCTACCACTAGGAGCGCGCAAGAAGCACCCCGCCCTCCGCCGCCCTTGAGCCTCTCTAGCCGCCTTCTCGCAGCCAGGAGCCGGCGAGAGCAAATGAGGCCGGAGGTAGGGGGTGGGGCAGGGGAGGAAAAAAAAAAAAAAAAAAAAAAAAAGCAAACCTGTGGGCTGTACTACATAACCTTACCTCTCGGGGACGCGTAGACCCAGGACCCGGGGGCATGTTCTCTCCTTGTCCTTGTCTCCAGGAAGATATACCCTCCGGAGAAAGGACAGGAGAATCATTCGTCGAGGCCTTCTTCTCTTCTGACCTCGCCTTCTCGGTTACCCCCTTCCTTCGGCGCCGAGGCTTCTCCACCCCTCTCCTCCCTCTGCACTTGGTACGCGCCGATTGAAAGGGGCGGAGGGAGGAAAAAGGAAGCGGGCACGTCTTAAAGGGGCCGCAGCCATTTTTGGGCTTCTTTTTTTTTTTCCTCCTGTTTTGCACACCCGGGCGCAGCTGGGGAAGACAGGGGCAGCAGCTGGAGGCGGGAGGGCCTGCCCCCGGGGGAGGGCGGGCTGTGAGCGCTCCTGCGCCCGACGCATCTCGGTGCTGGCCCATGCTCCGGCGGGCTGCGAGCGCTAACACCGGGGCCGGGCGGGGACGGCGGGGGCCTGCGTGCTGTGGGCGCGGCCGATCCACGGGGCCAGAGGGTGAGGCCGAGCGGCAGTGCTGGGACTCGGTTGCCACCTCCAGATCGGGCCCCGGGCGGCAAGGGGGCCGCCGCAATGCCAGGCGAAAATATCTTCCTGTTTGTGCCTAACCTCATCGGTGAGTGCTGCCCGCGGCTCCGGGCTGAAAGGGGAGGGCGAGGGCCAGGGTCCCTGATCCACTCTATGCCCCCGTCCTTCCCAAGGTTATGCCCGGATTGTCTTCGCCATCGTTTCTTTCTACTTCATGCCCTGCTGCCCCCTCACGGCCTCCTCCTTCTACTTGCTCAGCGGACTTCTGGACGCTTTCGATGGACACGCTGCTCGAGCCCTTAATCAAGGTGACAGACACCTCCTCTCAGCCAGGCTTTAGGCCCAGCCAACCCTCTGTCCCCTTTTCCTGCCTCCTCAGGACCTCGGGGCGGGCGGGAACTCGGGAACCTGAGGGCTTCGTCCCTCCCATCTCTGTAGAGAGCAGAACAGAATGGCCTCCTTTCCTAATAGAAGGGATTTAAGCTTTGCTGTTGAGAAGAACTTCCTGACAGGGTGTGGGGTAGCAAGACTGGACATGGCAGTGCTGGAGGTCTCCATGAGGAAAAATGCGTTCACCAGGTGATTCCTGGGGGGCTGCTGTGTGCCAGGCACAAGGAAGAGGGGTTCCAGAAGCCATGTTTCGAGGGAAAATGGAGAGGGAAGAAAGATGGTTTCTGCAGGGTCCATTAATTTTTTTAATCTGGTCTCCAAATACACCTGCCAGACATCCCCGAAGAGTTTAAGTCAGCTTGTCTTGAGTCCTGGACCCTTGGTTCTGGGGTTGGTGAGCTGCAGAGCTAGCTTCCACGGCTCCTCATTTCATGTGGCGGTGACCCCTGCCCCTTGACCTCACACCCCACAGACAGCAGCAGTCTGTCTGCCTCCCCAGCCCGGGGACGGTGCACATTTTCAATCTTTAGACACTGCATCAGAGTGATACGCCAGTCATGGTTCCTGTCACAGACCCAAGGCCCCCAGTGGCCCCCTCTCACATAACACCCCCCATTTTTCAGGGACCCGGTTTGGGGCCATGCTGGACATGCTGACGGACCGCTGCTCCACCATGTGTCTGCTGGTGAACCTCGCCCTGCTGTACCCACGGGCCACCCTTCTGTTCCAGCTCAGCATGAGCCTGGATGTGGCCAGCCACTGGCTTCACCTGCACAGGTTTGCGGCAGGCTGAAGGGGACGCTGCAGTGGGGATGGCTGAGGCTGTGTGGGAGGGTGCCCGATCCTGTTCACAGGTGCATTAAGCAATCCCGCCAAGTCGGGATCGGATAGTCCGGAGACTTCAGATAGATAAGCCGTGTTGGGGGCTTCGGAACGTGGTATTCAAATCCTGATTTCTCTGGGTCATTACCAGCGAGATGGTTGTGTGGCTTTGGGCAAGACCTCAATTCTTCACTGGGCCCCATCTGCTCCGCTCAGTAGAGGCAAACCCAGCACCTAACTAACCTCATGGGGGCTCATAGGAAGATTCAATGGACATGAGTGGCAAGGAGTGCTCATGGATTCCCCCTGCTTTCTCCCCAAGTTCTGTGGTCCGGGGCAGTGAAAGTCACAAGCTGATTGACCTGTCTGGAAATCCGGTGCTTCGAATCTACTACACGTCCAGAGTGAGCATTCCTGCCCAGCCCTGATTCCCTCCGCTTCTGCCAAGCCCTGGGCTGAGCCCTGGTCTTGGGTGAGGAGAAGGCCCCAGGCACAAGGAGGGGACGGACGCACCAACCCAGAGGAGATGCGGCTGGGAGGCCAGGAAGCTGAGGCGGAAAGGAGGATTGGTGGGGAGGGAGGGAGAAGCCAGATTGGCCTTCAAGCCAGTTCTCAACAAGCCTTAGGCTACATGGGCTTTATTCTGGGACCACAGAGAGTGTCTGAAAGGATTTATAAAGAGAGAAGCAATACCCTGAGCTCTCTCTTTCACCCTCACTCACCCCTGCATGCCTGTTTCCAGTAGGTATGGTTCCTCCACCCGCAGAAGGCTCTGGCCCCTTGTCACTTAGCTGGGGGAGGGGCAGCACTGCTTAAGCAGCCCTTTTGCTCTCTGTGCAGCCTGCCCTGTTTACCCTGTGTGCTGGGAACGAGCTCTTCTATTGCCTCCTCTACCTGTTCCATTCCCCGGGGGGCCGGTGGGGGGGGGGGGGGGGGGGGGGGGGGGGGGGGGGGAGGGGTCCTGGCCTGCCCGGGGTGATGATGATGATGATGATGGCCTGGAGCCCGCAGACTTCCCGGTCCTCCTCCCCCTCACCTGCATCCCGTTTTCTCTTTATCGCCTGTGCTCCCTTCCGCAGTTGGCTCTGTGGGTCTTTTCCGAGTGGGGCTCTGGATCACAGCCCCTGTCGCGGTGCTCAAGTCTCTCATCAGTGTGGTCCACCTGGTCACAGCTGCTCGCAACATGGCCGCCCTGGATGCGGCGGACCGAGCCAGGAAGAAATGACCCCGGAACCTCCAGCCCCTGGCTGCCCACCTGCCCTGGGGAGTCTCGCCGGGCCATGGCACTCCCCTCTCCCTCCTGGGAGGGCCCAGGCTCCCGTCTTCCTAATGTGCTGTCCAGCCTGCTGAGAAGGGGATTGGCCTCCGGGGTGATGCCATGTTCTCTGAGATCCTGAGGACCAGTCCCACCCAGATTCCCAAGGACCTGGACTTCCAATCAGGGAGGATGCTTCGGAGGCCCCGCCCCTACGGGCAGTGCTCCAGGGAGGCCAGGAGGCCCTGGGACCTGGCATTGGCGCACCTGCTGGCTCAGCCCAGGGATCTGGCTTGGCCTGGGACTTGGGACACTCGAGTGAGGGAGATGGGCTGGGGGCTAGGTTTCTCAGAAGGCAGGGAGTCAGACTGTACCCCTGGCCCCAGGAAGCCTGGGGTACTCCAGCTGGGAGAGAAGATCCCATCCCAGTCTCCTGTGTCCAGTCTATCCCGGCTCTGGAAGCTTCCATAATAGGAAGTGTGGGGGTGGGGGAGGAGAGGGCTTTGTTTTCCAGGATTTGGTTTCCTTTGAGATACTCTTGGACCAGGGCCTGATTGAGGGGAGCTGGTGGGGGGGGAAAGGAAGATCCATCTGGATGCTTTTCTCCTAGTTGTGTCCTCACTGGCTCCGGCTGTCATTCCACCATGACCTCAGAGTGAGGCCCTCCCTGCCACCCAGGTCTTTGCCCACCTGCTTTACTTTCTTTACAACATTGTCACTGGCTGTCTCCATTTTTTTGTATACCTCATGTTTTCTACTCCCACCAGAATGTAAACTCCCCGAGGGCACAGACTTTTCTTGTTCCTTCTCTATCCCCACAGTGAAGATGAACCTTAACCTGGCATATCGTAGCCGCTTAATAAAAGTCACGAACAGATCACTTCGTTTCTTAGAGTGCCATCCTTAGATGACCTGTGGATTGGTATTATTTTTTAAATATTTTATTTATTTGTCAGAGAGCGAGCTCCTGAGCAGGGACAGAGAGCAGCAGGCAGAGGGAGAAGCAGAGTCCTCCATGAGCAGGGAGCCCAATGCAGGACTCGATCCCTGGGACCCCGTGATCATGACCCGAGCTGAAGACTGATGCTTAACCGACTGAGCCACCCCGGTACCCTGCCTGTGAATTATTTCCTAAAAATTCAGCTGCTTGGACCCTGGGCCAGGCGTTTAGAGTTCGGATCCCTGGGGATGGGCCCAGAGTCTGCTATTTTAATAAACAGTGGGTGATTGATTCTTCCCCATAATGTTGAGAGTTGCCATTCCTGTCTTAAGCCATTTCGGGGCACCTAATATGTCATAGATATTGTTCTGGGCTTCTGTCCCTAACAGCTACCCCTGCCATCTGAGCCTTCTCTGCTGTCTGGCACCAGCTTGCTTTTTAAGACTATATTCAGCCTCCCATATGCCAGAAACTGAGTTGGGGGTTCTTTGCAGATGTTACTTGTTTCGTCCTTATAATAGTCCCCGAGAGCTGGAATGTAGCAGCTGGGTGTTGCACCTCAGCTCCTGTGCTAGGCCAGGGGATTTCATCAGTCCTCTCCAAGGAGGTCACGGGCCAGCCATGGGGGAGATCATCATGCCCTCTGGGCTGCGCTTGTGGGAGGATGGAATAAGAAAGTGCTGGAAAACGGATGTGTGGCTGAAGTGGGTGGGTGTCCAGAAAGCTGCTAGGGATCGGGGCAGGAAGGGTTAATGTGCAAGAGAGGAGTGATTCTCAGCTGTGGTGGGGGGGAGGTTAGAGGGCACGCTGAGTAGCTGCTCGGAAAATGGAAAGGAAACGGATCGATGTACTGGGGACACTGAGTGCCATGGGTTGGGGGTGGGAGAGCAGGCGAGAGCTGGGGCCTAGGCCAGCCAGGGCCGCTGGAGGAGTCTAGTAAGGCATTTGGACTTATCCTGAGGCCACATGGAGCCATTGAAGGGAGCCCTCAAAATAATAGGTAAAATACTCCTAGGGTAGAAATACGAAATCATATGCATTACAGAAGGGTGCAGAAGTTGTCCCCCTTCAGCTCTCCCTTCTCCCCAGAGGTGACCACTGCCACTCCTTACCTTTATACCCGTCTGAATAAACTCTCCATGTCTCCACACACATACTTCCGTATTTTAAAACTCATTCCGTGTGTGTAGTGCTCTGCTCTCACGAGCTACTGTAGTTCCAAGGGCTTTTGGGTGCATCCTTTCCTTCCTTTCGCCCCCGCCCCCAGTCTAGCCTTTTATTGTGCCCATCCTCTAGAGAGGAAATCGAGGCCCTCAGAGGAGGCCAGCCTGCCCCCAGAGCCTGCTCCCTTAAGATCTGCTGTCCGCAGAATTCCATTCACATTCATTAACCAGGTCCTGCCGCTGTGCAGGATGTAGGTAAATCGTCCACGCCCGGTTTTGGAGAACACTTAGGGGCTACACTTGGAAGGTCTGCAGTGGGTGTGGAACTTTTGCTTAAGCCCCACGGCCCTGCTTCCTTGGCTTTTGGCCCTAACCATTTCTAGTGACACCAGGAGTCTCTAACTTAGGTAAACCCAGCAAACCCATGAGCTAAACGGGAGACATGGGCGGGAGAGGGTCTCTTCCACTCCAGTAGAATACATGACTGAGGCCAGAGGTGCCTCCTGTGGTAGGGCCCCGAGGCTGGCCTCTGCCTTTGGTCCCATAGGCCTAGTGGCCAGACTGAGCCCAGGAGCAAGCAGAGTGACCTGGAAGACAGTGGGGAGAGTCTAGACTGAATTTATCTAAGGGACATAGCAGGGCCATATGTTAGCATGGTCTGCGTGCTCACAAAATTCCTCTGTTGGAACCTAAGACCCGGTGGGACAGCATTTGGAGCCTTCCAGAATGGGAAGCCTTCATAAAAGAGGCTCCAGACAGCTGATGCCCCTTCCACCAGGTAGGGATAAAGCCAAAGGCATGGTCTCTGAACCAGGAAGAGGGTCGTCACCAGAAGTTGGCCATGCCGGTGCCTGGGCCTTGGGACTTCTTATACAAGGGGTTCTTTTTATCTTTTTTTTTTTTTTTTTAATTTAAAGGTTTTATTTATTTGACAGAGATCACAAGTGTGCAGAGAGGCAGGGAGAGGGAGAAGCAGGCTCCCCACTGAACAGGGAGCCCGATGCGGGGCTCGATCCTAGGATCCTGACCGGAGCCAAAGGCAGACCCTTAATTGACTGGGCCACCCAGGCAACCACACGAATACGATTTAAAGAACAGCTTCCCAGGGGTGCCTAGCTCCCCAGCGGGGAGCCTGCTTCTCTCTCCCTCTGCCCTTCCCTCCCACCCCCTGCTCGTGATCTTTCTCTCTCTCAAATAAACCAAATCTTAAAAAATAAAGGACAGCTTCCCCTATTACCTTACTAGAGTCCATAAGCTCGTGAGGGGACATGCAGTGGTCAGGAGGGGCTAGATTATGCTACGGTAACGTCCCCCTACCCAGATTCCAGCGCCTTAATACGGGCAAATTCTCACCCCTGCTGCGGGATTATTATACGTCAGCTGTGGCTCTGCTTCCTGCCATTTCTCTCCTTGGGACCCCGTTGATGGAGGAGCCTCTATTTGAGACATGGCCCGTCCCCAAGGCAAAGGGAAAAGAGAGGACAGCGATGTCCTTTCCCCTTGCATTTCACTGGCTAGACCAAGTCATATGGCCACTCCTGATGGCCATGAGATCCACGTGGAGACATCCGGTCATTAGCTGGAAAGGGGTCCAGAGTTCAGGGGTGAGGTCAGGGATGGAGAACTTCATTTGAAGTCCATGGTACAGAGATGCTCTAAAGCGTGGGAATGGCAAAGGTGGTCACTGAGAAAGAACAGGGTTTGGGGCAACCCGTGATTTAGAGCAGAAGAAGTAGAGGTGGCCAGGTGTGGGCCTTGAGGTGGGGAGGAGGTGGAGTGGGCCATGTCAGGGGAGACCAGTATTAGTGATGCTGATCAGAGCAGTTTCCAGGAAGGAAGGGGTGGAGTCAGGGGGTTGAGAAGATAATGAGAGGTAAGGAACGGAAACTAAGAAATGTGGCTGCAGGGGCACCTGGGTGGCTCAGTCGGTTAAGCGTCTGCCTTCGGCTCGGGTCATGATCTCAGGGTCCTGGGATCGAGCTCCACATCAGGCTCTCTGCTCAGTGGGGAGCCTGCTTCCCTCTCTCTCTCTGCCTGCCTCTCTGCCTACTTGTGATCTCTCTGTGCCCAATAAACAAATAAAAAATCTTAAAGAAATGTGGCTGCAAAGGAAAGAGACGGGAGCAGTGGCAGCTGGAGGGAAGGCAGGGCCCCGGGAGAGCCTGCGTGTTGCTTCCACTGTGGGCCAGAGCGGAGAGGCTGCTCATCGACCTGGGACAGGGAGCCCGGAGGGGAGGGGTGGATATCGCAGGCCAGAAAGATGATCCACAGAGTGGACTCGGGGGGCTTGCGATCAGGGATCTAGAGCCCAGGGGGAGGAGGCCCAGGAGGCCATGTCCCCACTGGGAACAGGAGGGAGGACGGACTCCAGGTGCTGGGAATTTGCTACATTGGCTGCCGGGAAACAGAGGGGCCTCCTGCCCAGTGCGCTTCTATTTTCTCTAAGAGGTGAGAGCAAGTGGGTGGGGATGTGGGAGACTGGGAGGAGGGGTGTGAGTGCTTGTTCTGAAGGAGAGCTCCCACAGGCCCAGAGAAGCAGAGTCAGAGGCCCTGGGTCTCCCTTAAGATGTGTTGCCATGAGTTTAAAAGGAGATCAGTCAGCAAGTGGGACGCAGCTCTCCCAGCATCCCCAGCATCCTGCAGCTAGTCCCAGGCTGCAGAGTGGGCGGAGTGGGCAGTGGCTGGTTTAGGAAGGGATGGGGCTGAGTATCACGGGGGAAGGGGAGAGATGGGAGTTAAGAAGGGAGGTTTCTGATGAGTGAGTTCTGGGCAGGATGGATATGCAAGGGTGGGTGTCAAGGTTGAGAGGGGGGTTGGGGTCAAGGTCACAGAAGACTGGAGTTGGAGGAACAGTTTGGGAAGGTGAG